GAGGTGGGTGAGGGCAGTGCAGGTCCTCTCACTCGATCTCCATGTTGAGAAGCTCCAAGAAGGCGGTGAAGGTTCCCAGCTGGTACAGGAGGAAGCTGTTGTGCCGAGACCAGTGCAGGACGTCACCTTCATTATCACAGTCTCCAAAGACACCTGGAGAGGCCCAAAAGGGAAGCACTGGTTAGGAGGGAGCTGCCTTTGAAGCCCTGGAGCATACAGGACCATCTTGGGAAGGAACTAAGGTTTCTCCCAAACCCCCGTGATGAAACCAGGCAGTGGGTAGGTGGCCACATCCAGACATGGGACGTGTGGTCCTTACCCTGTGCCAGGTAGAGGATGGCCCGTGCTACTTTGAGCCGCTTGTCCCTGTTGACCACCTCCAGCCCATCCAGCAGGCGCATGACGTAGGCCTTCTGCTGAGCCCCATCCAGCTCCAGCCACCTCCTGCCCTGCACTGGAAAGGGGACACGACAACCAGCCGGGTGCCTCCCCAGGAGTCCCAGTTTGCCCAGTGAGGGCTGCCCTGGGGTGCTGAGCCCAGAGCTGGTACCTTGAGCGTGAAAATCCTCCTCGAAGCATCTCCTGTTGGTGCTGAGCTCGGGTTCCTCGGTGTAGCTGTACAGCTCTGATGGAGAAAGGAGTCACCAGGGACCAGGAGGAGTTTCACCCTCCTCCTCCTCGCCAAATTCCTTGTGGAGCTCTGAAGGACCTCTACGCACCCGAGGAGACGTGGGGAAAGAGACCTACACTTGTCCCCAACCACTTCTGCAGCTCCAGGGGGCATCTTGGAGCCACCCAGTGCTACCAAATTCATCATTTTCATCCCCGTGTCCAAGCTGGGCTCTTCCCAGCTTTTGGAAAACTTTCCTTTTTTGCCCTTTCATCGGCTGTTTTTTTTTTGGGGGAGGTAATTTTCTGTCCCAGTAAAGCCAGTTTGCCACGAGAGGGACCACAGTGACGCCCAGGGGAGACCTGCACGGCTTCCACACCCAACACCTCAGATATTTTGGGCCCCCTCCAAACAGAGGGGCTGGACTTGGAGGGAGATGATGGTTGTGCCTGTTCCTATATAATTCCTAATGGTCCCTCTATAATTCCTATAGGTCCCTCTATAATTCCTATAGGTCCTGCAGTGCTGAGCAGCACCGTGAGGGAGCGAAACGGTCCTGGGAAGGAGGAGGAAGGATTCCTCGAAGAAAAAAATAACATGTTTTAGCCTGGCCAGTTCCTGCAGCTGAGACACACACATGTGGCTAAAAATAACCCCTTTTGCTGGTGGAGATACGCTGGGGACTCGGAGGGATACGGGGCAGGAGGAGCCAGAACGGGAAGAAACAGGAGGACACGACCCGTGGTGACACCCCGAGATAAAGGGTGACGCTTCCCAGCCACCAGGACATGCCACCCCCTCGTCCCACATAATTTGGAGCGGGAGGGTAACCCCCGTGCCCCCCACATCCCTTTTCCTCATCCCTGGGGGAGCAAGTGGCTCTTTATTAATAAATCCCTCTTTCTCTATGACTGCAGGGAGGACACTGCCCGATATCCATCCCCTCCATCCCGCTCATCCTGACTTCCTGAGGGATTTATTTCTTCTCCCACCCTGATGGGCACCCTCTGCTTCACCTGCTAACTCCGCTCCGTGGCCGTCGGCATCCCCATATTCAAACTCCAGGTTGGGACAATCCACCGAGCCCTGCGGAGAGCGGGTTGGGGAGGGAGTTAGAAAAAGGAGGGGGGGGGGAGGCTGTCACATTATTTTGGGAAGGTGGGACGGCTGCCAGCACTCTCAGCCTTCATGTTAAAGCTCCTCCAGCTGCCGGAGCAGCGAATCCCTCAGGGATGATCTTGACACAGGGGCTCCGGGGCTCGAGCGGGTCGCCCGGCACGAGGCTACTTAAAATACAGTGCAAATTTGGAAGGCGAGTGTTAAAATTAAAAAAAAAGCAATTCTCAAGTCCCAGGGAAAGCAGAGGCAGAACCTCAAAGCGCCAGTGAATATTTGATGCATTTCAGTGCCCCAAATATTCTTCAAAAAAAAACCAAAACACAAAATCTGGGGCTGGTTTGAAGCAAAAGCACCCGGGAGGATGCAAACCCCTCGTGCTCCATCCTTAGCATCCCAGATCCTACAGCTTTTGGGATCGAGCTCTGCCCTTTGGAAGGGGGCTGTGGATTTCCCCCCCCAACACACACACACACACACACACACACTCCTTCCTCCCCTGTGGAGGAGGAATTGGAGCATGAAACTTGGCCGGAGGATTCCGGAGGGGCAGGGAGCAGGCGGCCGCAGCCAGACGAGGAGGACCCAACACCGGCCCGGCATCGCCCCGCCGAGCCCCCGGGGGAGGGAAACACATGAATGGATAATCAACCCAATTAACATAATTTCCTCATGCTGAATCCTAGCATCCCTCCTCGGCAGCAAGGGCTGGAACCCATCCGCATCGTTCACGATTAATATTGATGACCCCAGAGGACGCGTGGCTCCGACTCCGGTCAGAAAAGCTGGGTTTTTCACCCGATTTTTGCAGCCAAGGCAAGCGGGGCGGTTCGGGGGAGCTAAAGCCCGGGAGGAATTTGGGGAAGCGCGTGCGGCGTTAATCCGCTTGGCGAGGCCGAGCTGCTGCTCTTGGAGCCAGGAGAGAAACGCAGGTCCATCCCCCCCCAAATTCAAAACAGGGCTTGGAGATGGGACACACACACACTCATACAGCTCAGGCATCATCTCCCAGCAAAGAGGGAGCCTTTTTGGGGTCAGCTCCTGGGGGAGCCCCTCGAGCTGCAGCTCATTTGTGTCCCCCTGCTCACGGAGGGGTCTCTTGGTGGCTTTAGGGTGGCTGGGGGACATCAGTCCCAGGCTGGCCCCTGGTGACCTGACCCAGTCCTGCCTCCCCAGCCCGGTACCCATGAAGCTGGACGGGTGCAGCCCAGGGGGGAGTTTAGGGGTTATGTTATTTTGGGGTGAAGGGTGATGGAGGGGATGGCAGCCCCCAGCCCCTGGTGAGGAAGGGGGGGTGAGTGGGTGCCTGGAGGGTGTGGAGAACCCCAGAGCCCAGCTGGGACCCCCCCAAACTCTGGGAGCTCAGGGAGGTGCCAGTAGCATGGACACCCTCCCTGAGGACCCCCACACTCTGGAGTGGGCACCCCCATAGGAAACCCAAGTCCCCAGGCTGAGGGGACACCCCTAGGACCGGGGGGACACCCCCCTGATCCTTAGATCAGTCCCTGCAGGAACCCTCACTCCTGGGAGAGGGACCCCAACCCCCAGGACAGGGACACCCAGCTCCCAGGAGAGACACCCCTCACCCCGGGGAGGGGACACCCAGCTCCCAGAGCAGGGACCACTCACTCCGAGACAGGGACCCCCAACCCCTGAGGACCCCCAACCTCCAAGGCAGGGACCCCCCCACATTCCAGGGACCCCCACTCTCTGGGGGCAGGAACTCCCAACCCCGGGGGCAGGAACCCCCAGTCCCTGAAGACCCCCAACCCCCAAGGTAGGGACCCCCAGACTTCAGAGACCCCCAACCTCTGGAGTCAGGGACCCTCAACCCCGGGGGCAGGGACCCCCCCACATTGCAGGGACCCTAAACCTCTGGGGCAGGGACCCTCCCACTTTGGGGACCCCCAACCTCTGGGGTCAGGGACCCCCAAACCCGGGGACAGGTACCTCCAACCCCCGAGGTAGGGACCCCCAGACTCCAGAGACCCCCACCCTCCGGAGTCAGGGACCCCCAGTCCCCGAGGTCCCCCAACCTCCGAGGTAGGGACCCCCCCACTTTGGGGACCCCCAACCTCCGTGGCCAGTGATCCCCCACCCCGGGGGCAGGGCGCTCCCAATCCCCGAGGTAGGGACCCCTCAACTCCAGGGAACCCCAACCCCGAGGGCAGAGACCCCCAGTCCCTGAAGACCCTCAACCTCCGATTCAGGGACCCCCACACTCCAGGGACCCCCA